ATGAAAGAGATCTTGATAAACGTAGATATCATTTGTTGATTGATGAGATTGGTTACAACAATGATAAAGAAAAAAATGAGCAAAAGTGACAGTTTTCTCCAGGTTCATGAAAAAGCTTTGATAAATATATAAATCTTTTGCAGATGATGAGTTTGGCTATTACCATGTTAACAAAAAAAAAAATAGACAGTTTTCTGTAGTCTAATGAAAGAGCTCTTGATAAACGTAGAAATCGTTTGCAAATTAAAGAGCTTTGTTATAACCATTATAACGGAAAAATGGGCATAATTGATGGTTTCTGCAATCCGATCAAAGAGATCTTAATAAATATAGAAATCACTACAGGAAATGTGGGTATTAATAGCGGCCGAAAAACGCAATTATTCATCTACCATAGCGTTTCCTTAAGCGCTCTGACATCGCCCGTTATAGAAAGTCGGACACTTTTGATAGCGGTTTTTAGTTGTGCAATAGTTAAGTATACAATGATAGCGTTGTCTTTTGTGCAATTGTTAATGTTTATAATAGCGTGATAAAGATGTTATTAAAACTCGTTAATTAGATTTTACCTATAGCAAAGATAGCATCTGTTTTGTGTTATTAGTTTGTTTTAAAATTATTCAAAATAATAAATAATTACGAATTATATTTTAATTTAAATATAATATTTGTAAAAAAAATTAATTTCGAATATTTGTAAAAACAAAAATACCATTAAAATGTTTAATAACCCATTTCAATTTTCATTGTTTACAAAAACCACAAACATACCTATCAATCTACCACTAACAAGCTTTCACAATCATCCCTAACATAAACACTATCATCATCAAAAGCTTCATCATCCAAATCATCGACTTCTTGTACAGGCAAAGGTGCACCACCTAAATCCTTTTCTGTTTCCAATTCATGATAGCCTCTAGGTGGTGCTCTCATAACAACATACCAATTTGAATTATCATCTTCCCTAGAATAGAAAACCTGTTTTGCTTGAGAAGGTAGAATGAATGGATTTTTCAAATAGGCTGTTTGGTTCATATGAAGGTTAACAAGAGTGAAACCATCTTCCTCCTTCACACCATTCCCTGTGTTGGCCCAATTGCATCTAAACAGCGGCACTTTGAACATGTCATAGTCCATAAGTAAAATCTCCTTTATCACTCCATAATATGTAAGCACATTAGCGACTTGTCTCATATCTCGAGCACTTGATCTACACATGATAAATGCTTCATAAGTTATGCCACTGTTTTGTGTCTTTCGCTTAACCGCATCTGTATGAAACCATTGCCCATTAACGATAAATCCTTTATGTGCTAAAGCAATAGTTCCTGGTCCAAATGCCAACCACCTTATCTCCTTAGAATGACTATTTCTTGAGTCTGAATAATCTGGCAACAGCAAAACATGATCAGGAAGCTAACAAGTGATCTGTGCCAAGAAAACCAGACATCAAGCTACAAGCTAAGCTAACCAGTCATTAAGCAAAACGTGATCATGAAGCTAACAATTCTGTGCCAAGAAAACCAGACATCAAGCTACAAGCTAAGCTAACCAGTCATTAAGCAAAACATGATCATGAAGCTAACAATTCTGTGCCAAGAAAACCAGACATCAAGCTACAAGCTAAGCTAACCAGTCATTAAGCAAAACATGATCATGAAGCTAACAATTCTGTGCCAAGAAAACCAGACATCAAGCTAACCAGTCAATTTAACAAGCTGTATAACAAATAATCAAGAAGACAAGTTGCAGCTGTAAACCTTTTTTTTAAGCCATTGTGCAAACTGCTCAGTATGGTTTTTCCATAACAAAGTTTCACTTTTAGCACATCGAGCATCATTAGCTTGTAATTCTTCCAAATGCATCCTGATTTTACATTAAACAACAGTCTTGAGAATGAAATTATAATCATAATTAGTAGATGAGACATAAAGGGTAACCTCTTACTCTACATAAGGATCCAAAGATGCCATGTTCATTAGCACATAGCGATGTGCATTGTCTCTATCTTTATCTGATAGGGTAACTTCTATACCCTTCTGCAGAGGTCGACCTTCAACCACGCTTCTATCAGCCTCAATATCTTCATTGCGATTAACTGTTTCTTGAACTGGTACTGAATCTTTAAGGAACTCTAAACAAAATGCAACGCATTCTCCAGCTAAATACCCCTCAGCCATACATGCTTCTGGCCTTGCATGATTCTTAACAAAAGCCTTAAGTGTTTTCATGTACCTATAACTCAGTCATGAAATGAATATTAGTCCAATATCATTGCAGTAAATACATATATTGAATCAAATGAGTACATATATCAAACCTTTCAAATGGATACATCCAGCGAAAGTGTACTGGTCCTCCCAAACGTGCTTCTTTTGATAGATGTATTGGAAGGTGGAACATGATATCAAAAAGGGATGGAGGGAAGAAGCGCTCCAGTTGACACATTGTTTCCACAAACTCTGTCTCCATTGTCATAAGTTTCTCCGGGTCGATGATGCGCTGACACAACCTGTTGAAGTAACTGCATAATCTATTTATGGCAATCCTAGGACCCTTATGTAACAACCCTCTTAATGCAGCTGGTAACAAGTTCTGTACTAGGACATGATGATCATGCGACTTTAAACTACCTATATTTGGAGGGGTAACTGAAACACTATTTGCAATATTACCACAATAACCATCAGGACCTCTAAACTTAGATAATCTTTGGCAGAAAATTGTCTTCTCTTTCTTGGATAACCAATAGGCTGCTGGAGGTAAGTATGTTTTCTTTCCCCGGACCTCTGTGTGCAAGTGATTTCTGATTCCAATATCTTCTAAGTCTTTTCTTGCTTTCAAACCATCTTTTGACTTAGCACTTTGCATCAAGATAGACAATATAGCATCTGAGACGTTCTTTTCTACGTGCATAACATCAATATTGTGACGAACAAGCAAATCCTAACACATTAAATAAGAAACTGTTAGGCTTATTCAGATCCAATAATAAGAGAATATAGTTCAAATAGTTTACATTACCTTCCAGTAAGATAGTTCAAAGAATATTGATCTCTTCTTCCACCGCCATATATCATTTGATTCTTCACACTCTTCTTCTTCAACCACCTCATCTTGATCCAACTCAGTTCTTTTTCTTTTAGTTTCCTTATCTAGAGGTTTTCCAAAATCATTCCTAAAAGCTTGTAGTGTCTCATATATTTCAGAGCCAGTTTGTATCCTATTGGCAGTCCCTTCCTCAACAGTGTTGTCAAACCAAGCTTTTTTATATCTGTAACGATGGCCAGGCGGTAGTCTCTTTCTATTCCCCATATAGACAAACTTACGGCTAAACTTAAGCCATCTGGAAGGTGTATGCTTTCCACATACATTGCAAGCTTGTTTCCCTTTCACTTTACATCCAGACAATGTTCCTAAGGCTGGATAGTCACTGATACTCCAAAGCAGCATGGCTCTAAGTGTGAAATTCTCCTTTGCAAATGAGGCATACACTTCAATACCCTCAGCCCACAAATCTTTTAAATCGTCTATCAGTGGTGCCAAGTAAACATCTATGTTATTACCAGGAGCTGTTGGACCAGGGATCAACAAAGTCAACATTATATTCTCAGCCTTCATACACATAGTTGGAGGCGTGTTATAGTTCACCAACATCACTGGCCATGTGCTGTGATTGGTGTTTTGCATGGAGAAAGGGTTCATCCCATCTGAAGAAATTCCAAGTCGAAGATTCCTTGGTTCAGCAGCAAAGTCTGGCCATTTATCATTCACTTGTGCCCACTGGATAGAATCAACGGGGTGTCGCATTGTACCATCTTCAGTGCCATTCGTATAGTGCCACCTCAAATCTTCAGCCATCTTTTTTGATCTAAACATCCTCTTAAATCTGTCCTTGATTGGAAAATATCTAAGGACCTTTGCTGGAATCCCAACCTTTATCTCATTACTATGCTTATCCTTTTCCCATCTTGAAACTTTGCATCTTGGACAGCTATCTAACTTCTCAAACTCCTTCCTATATAGTATGCAATCGTTCTTGCAAGCATGAATATTTTCATATCCGAAACCAAATATCTTCAGGAATTTCTTGATTGCAGCTAAACTCTTCGGAAGTATATTGTCTTCAGGTAGCATGTCCTGAATTAAACCCAACAGCTGATCAAAGTAGTTCTCCGACACACCACTCTTAACCTTGAATCTGTAAAGTCCCATAATTGCTGAAACCTTTGTGTATTTGATACAATCAGAGTACAATGGAGTTTCAGCTTCTCTTAACTTTTTCCTAAACTCAGTTTCCTCTACTGCTTCATCGTCGTTTGCCTCTAATGCTTCATCATCATCATCATCACCCATAGAAAATGCTGTCTTAAACAAGTCAAATGCCTCTGTTTCATGTTGAGGAGCATTGTCTTCTGTATCTGCTCTTTTTTCACCATGAAAATTCCAACAAGAAGTCTTATACTTCTTATCCATACCCCTAAGCACTAGATGCTCAACAATTTCCTCTATAGACTGATGGCATAAATTGCGGCAATCTCTACATGGGCATAGCATTTCAGATAGATTTCCCAATCTTCTTGTAGATGAATTGGCGAAATTCGTTGCTCCTTCTGAGTACTCGATAGTATTCCTACATTGTCAATTGGAAAAGAATTCAGATTTCTTTCAATCAGATAATATAAGTAAGCTCGATAGAATTAAGTGTATACCTTGGCAGCGAGATCCACGTCTTATCCATTTGGTCACGATGGAGATGAATCCGTTCTGAAATGATGAACTTTTGGTAAAATCGAGTTGGGGAAATCGAGTTCTCTGAAAATTTGTGTTCTGAAATAATAAACCCTAAATCGAGTTCTGTTGGAATTGTCTGAAAGTATAAAAAATGAACGGCTGGGATCAAAATTAGTGAAACGAATCAACGGTCTAGGTTCAATAAGCTTGCAATCTCGGTAGTTACTGCTTATTGGCTAAGAACATGAACGGCTCAGATCAAATCAGCGATACAGATCAAGGGTGAATATAACAAGTTCCAGAATTCTTACAATAGTCTCAGCAAATTGAGGCTTCACAGGTCTACCATCAGCATGAGTGTGTCCCGCTAACCATACCTTAGTCCTAGTCACCTTACTTGGGTTTGAACTCTTTTTTTTCTATATAAAGTACATATACATATCTCAGTACCATTTTATGCTAACAAGATATACAATATATATAGATATTGACAACTATTATTACCATATCATCAGCTAAACGAACCAATCCTTTGCGGCTGGAGGTTTGAGGAATCTGATCATGTCTCAACTTCCTCATCTTGTTACTTACTTCCTACATTATAAATATGAGTGTGATTAAATCTATAAGACATGACATATAAACATATAAACTTCATACTAACCGTAAAAGCTTTGCTAGTCTTGCTCTTAACCCAAGAGTTCCACACTTGAATGGATGGGATGTTGCTGGGTTTTAAAGCTAGTATATCAGCAGCTGTCTCAGCAGCACGTACTTTTGTCACTAGCCTTGACTTCATACCCCTAAAGATATTACACATTTGCTTCATAATAACAGCTTTTTTCCATTCTTCTTCCATGTCAAACCTCCCCTGCATCAAGTACAACAAGCAAAGGTCAAACATGTTTCATATCTGTTAAACAAAAAATTAGTTGCATATATATAAATATATACCTGAATTTGTTCCCACAATGTTTCTTTAGTCGCTGCATCAACTTCTCTCCAATCAGAAATTGTAACCGGAATGAATTGACTCACGAGGACACCAAGAAAAGATGATAATCTTACTGAACCAGTTCCAACATGATCACTAAAGTCAGTGAAAGAAATTGAAACCCTTTCATTAGGATTTTCAGCCACTTTACGCATCTTTGTTGGTCCTCTTTTTCTTCTTACTTTCACTCTTTCTTCTGGTACCTGACTTCCTTCATCAGTGTTGGTAGGAATCGCTTTATCTTGACCATTGCCAACACCATCTTCTTCCATATTGGCAACTTCTTCATTATTCGCAGCTACTTCCATAGTGGCAGATTCTTCTTGATGATACTCCTGCTGGTCCTGTCCAGTCAAACAAGCTTCTTCTTCTATATTGGCAACTTCTTCTTCATCCTCCTCCTGGCCCTGTCCAGTCAAACATCCTTCTCCTTCATTCTCATCTTCACACATTGCTTTCTCAGTCTGATCAGCCTCCGGTGTTATATCTTTGTCATTACCCTTTTCTTCTTCCACAGCTTCTGGTGTTACATCTTCTACCTCATCATCTACAGCAGCCACTTTCGGTGTAACATCTTCTACCTCATCATCTACAGCAGCCACTTTCTTGGCTCTAGTACTACTTCTTCTCCGAGCCACTTTATTTGTTGTTTTCTTCTTATTCACCTTCTTATTAACCTTTAGTGTTGTTGCAGGAGCAACATCTTCTACCTCCAAGCCTTGATTACGCCTACTACGACGAGCACAAACTTGACCTCCTCCTCTTGTCTTTGCCATTTTCTGAAACTGGTGAAGAACAGTTTCAATCAACATAAAATCGAAACCAAAAATCATAATCAAAACCCAAACTTCGAATTAAAACCCAAAATCAAAATCGATTTCACAATTGAAACAATATATGTGCCAGACTTCGACATGCATGTTAACTAAGTGTAAGAATGAAAACCCAAAATCAAAATCGATTTTGAATTTGGAATTCAAAATCGATTTCACACAACCCCAAATCAAATTGGTTTTCCAGAGAACAAAGAAATTAAACGGCTCAGATCGAATGAGAACATACCTGTTCGAGATCGATAGAAACCGACTTAGATCGAGAGGGAGATGAGTTGAAGATTTTTTTTGTTCTCTGTTAGAGAAGTCGAGTGAAGTCGAGAGAAGAAGTTAGATTTTTTTTTTGCTTTAGGGAAAAAATGAAAAAGTTTTCTTTTATTTTGCCTTAGACAAAATTTCACAATTTTCCCTCTTAACATTTTCAATAGCGGGAAAGAGACTTTAGTAACCCGAAAATTGGCCGCGTGAATTGCATATATCCCGCTTCAATCATTTATAGCGTTTACAATTCAGAAAACGCTATCTATTAAGTAAAACATAGCAGAGACATAAAAAACGCTATCTTTTAGTGCTATCAATACCCACATTTCCTGTAGTGAATTTTTGCTGATTGATGAGTTTGGCTAACCATGATAATAAAAAAAAAAGGAACAAAGTGACGGTTTTTTGTAACGTAATGAAAGAGGTCTTGATAAACGTAAAAATTATTTGCTCATTAATGAGTTTAGCTATAACCATGATTACAAACAAGAGAGATAAAATTAACCGGCCTTCTGAAGTCCGATTAATGATATCTTGATTAACGTACAAATCATATGTTGATTTATGAGTTTGGCTATAAAATGATAACAAAAAAAATGAGCAAAATTGACAGTTTTATGCGAGCTCATGAAAAAACTCTTGATAAACGTAGAAATCATTTATTGATGATGATTTTGGCTATATCCATGATTAAAAAAAAAACAAAATTAACGGCTTTTCGCAGTCTGATGAAAGAGATCTTTGATAATCGTAAAAATCATTTGATGATTGAAGAGTTTAGCTATAACCATTTTAACAAAAAAAGAGCAAAGTTGAAGCTATTTGACAGTCTGATGAAAGAGCTCTCGATAAACGTAAAAATTATTGGCTGATTGAAGAGTTTTACAATAACCATTATAACGGTAAATTAGCAAACTCAAAATTTTTCTGCAGCCTAACAAAAGAGCTATTGATTAACTTAGAAGTTTTCTGGTTGATGGTTTGACTATAGCCATAAAAAAAAATGGAGCAAAATTGACGGTTTTCTACTGTCTAATGTAAGAGGTTTGGGTAAACGTATAAATTATTTGCTGATTGATGAGTTTGGTTATAACAATGATAACAATAAAAGAGAGCAAAATAGACAGTTTTCTACAGCCTTATGAAAGAGTTATTGATAAATTTAGAAATCATTTGCCGATTGATGAGTTTGACTATAACAATGATAACAAAATAAGAGAACAAAATTGACGGTTTCTTTCAGCCTCATGAAGAAATGTTGATAAGCATAAAAATTATTTTCCGATATATGTGTTTGGCTATAATCATGATTAAAAAGAACAAGATGAGCAAAATTGACGGTTTTCTTCAGCTTCATGAAAAAGCTCTTGATAAACGTAGAAATTGTTTGTTGATTGATGAGTTTAGCTATAACATTGATAACCAAAAAAAGAGGAGAAAAATAACGATTTTTTATGTCCTGATGAAAGAGCTTTCAATAAATGTAGAAATAATTTGCTGATTGATGACTTTTGCTATAACCATGATAACAAAAAAAAAAAGATAGCAAAATAGACGTATTTTTCAACGTAATGAAAGAGCTCTTGGTAAACGTAATAATTATTTGTTCATTGATGAGTTTGGCTATAACCATAATAAAAAAAACAAGAGAGACAAAATTGACGACTTTCTGTAGTCGATGAAAGAGATCTCGATAAACTTAGATATCATTTGTTGATTGATGAGTTTGGTTACAACAATGAAAAAGAAAAAAATGAGCAAAAGTGACAGTTTTCTCCAGGTTCATGAAAAAGCTTTGATAAATATATAAATCTTTTGCAGATGATGAGTTTGGCTATTACCATGATAACAAAAAAAAAAATAGACAGTTTTCTGTGGTCTAATGAAAGAGCTCTTGATAAACGTAGAAATCGTTTGCAGATTAAAGAGCTTTGTTATAACCATTATAACGGAAAAATGGGCATAATTGATGGTTTCTGCAATCCGATCAAAGAGATCTTAATAAATGTAGAAATTTTTTGCTGATTGATGAGTTTGGCTAACCATGATAATAAAAAAAAAGGAACAAAGTGACGGTTTTTTGTAACGTAATGAAAGAGGTCTTCATAAACGTAAAAATTATTTGCTCATTAATGAGTTTAGCTATAACCATGATTACAAACAATAGAGATAAAGTTAACCGGCCTTCTGAAGTCCGATTAATGATATCTTGATTAACGTACAAATCATATGTTGATTGATGAGTTTGGCTATAAAAATGATAACAAAAAAAATGAGCAAAATTGACAGTTTTATGCGAGCTCATGAAAAAACTCTTGATAAACGTAGAAATCATTTATTGATGATGATTTTGGCTATATCCATGATTAAAAAAAAAAGCAAAATTAACGGCTTTTCGCAGTCTGATGAAAGAGATCTTTGATAATCGTAAAAATTATTTGATGATTGAAGAGTTTAGCTATAACCATTTTAACAAAAAAAGAGCAAAGTTGACGATATTTGACAGTCTGATGAAAGAGCTTTCGATAAACGTAAAAATTATTGGCTGATTGAAGAGTTTTACAGTAACCATTATAACGGTAAATTAGCAAACTCAAAAGTTTTCTGCAGCCTAACAAAAGAGCTATTGATTAACTTAGAAGTTTGCTGGTTGATGGTTTGGCTATAGCCATAAAAAAAAAATTGGAGCAAAATTGACGGTTTTCTACTGTCTAATGTAAGAGGTTTTGGTAAACGTATAAATTATTTCTTGATTGATGAGTTTGGTTATAACAATGATTACAATAAAAGAGAGCAAAATAGACAGTTTTCTACAGCCTTATGAAAGAGTTATTGATAAATTTAGAAATCATTTGCCGATTGATGAGTCTGACTATAATAATGATAACTAAATAAGAGAATAAAATTGACGGTTTCTTTCAGCCTCATGAAGAAATGTTGATAAGCATAAAAATTATTTTCCGATATATGTGTTTGACTATAATCATGATTAAAAATAACAAGATGAGCAAAATTGACGGTTTTCTTCAGCTTCATGAAAAAGCTCTTGATAAACGTAGAAATTGTTTGTTGATTGATGAGTTTAGCTATAACATTGATAACCAAAAAAACAGGAGAAAAATAACGATTTTTTATGTCCTGATGAAAGAGCTTTCAATAAATGTAGAAATAATTTGCTGATTGATGACTTTTGCTATAACCATGATAACAAAAAAAAGATAGCAATATAGACGTTTTTTCAACGTAATGAAAGAGCTCTTGGTAAACGTAATAATTATTTGTTCATTGATGAGTTTGGCTATAACCATAATTAAAAAAAAAAACAAGAGAGACAAAATTGACGACTTTCTATAGTCGATGGAAGAGATCTTGATAAACGTAGATATCATTTGTTGATTGATGAGTTTGGTTAGAACAATGATAAAGAAAAAAATGAGCAAAAGTGACAGTTTTCTCCAGGTTCATGAAAAAGCTTTTGATAAATGTATAAATCTTTTGCAGATGATGAGTTTGGCAATTACCATGATAACAAAAAAAAAATAGACAGTTTTCTGTAGTCTAATGAAATAGCTCTTGGTAAACGTAGAAATCGTTTGCAGATTAAAGAGCTTTGTTATAACCATTATAACAGAAAAATGGGCATAATTGATGGTTTCTGCAATCCGATCAAAGAGATCTTAATAAATGTAGAAATTTTTTGCTGATTGATGAGTTTGGCTAACCATGATAATAAAAAAAAAGGAACAAAGTGACGGTTTTTGTAACGTAATGAAAGAGGTCTTGATAAACGTAAAAATTATTTGCTCATTAATGAGTTTAGCTATAACCATGATTACAAACAAGAGAGATAAAATTAACCGGCCTTTTGAAGTCCGATTAATGATATCTTGATTAACGTACAAATCATATGTTGATTGATGAGTTTGGCTATAAAAATGATAACAAAAAAATGAGCAAATTTGACAGTTTTATGCGAGCTCATGAAAAAACTCTTGAT